CTAAACGAAATTATGATTTGATGTAATAATACTGAAAATCTAAATTATTAGTGGTGGAGGATATTATGATCAGGATTAGTCAACAAAAATTGGGAAATGGGTTGAAATCTGTAATGAGTTTTCGGATTAATAAATTATTTATTAAGGAGAATATAAAAATGGGAAAAAAATAAGCATATGGGATTTATTTTGTCAAAGAAAATTGCTGTAAAATTATGAAAATTTATAATATTTATAGAGGTTTTGGGTCATATGATTATTCATCTGAAGGAATTTCAATGAAGATTGGAAAGTGGATTGAATAATGTAATCAACATAAAAAGGATTCAGGAATCACATTTAATGGCAGTTATAGAAAAGGTAACAAATTTGGTAGATGGGATATATGGTATCAGAAAAATTACGGCAATTATCATAAAGAATTAATGTATGAAATAACTCTATATAGTGGTGGTGGTTTATATAATGATTAGTTGGGAGAAGACTCAATTAAAATTGGGAGATGGATTGAACTAAACGATTAATTTAGGGATTATTCACAAATCATTTTTGATGGGGAATATATCAATGGAAAAAAAGTAGGTAGATGGAATATACTTTATAAATAGGATGATAAACAGCTATTTGAATTGATGTAAAATTAAAAAAATTAAATTTATAGTGGTGGTGGATTATATGATTAAAGTAATTCAATTAAAATTGGAAGGTGGGTTGAATTGAATGATACATTTTTTGATTATTAGCAAATCATTTATGAAGGGGATTATTTTAATGATAAGAAGTTTGGCAGATGGAATATTTATTATAGGTATTAAGATGAATTTGAATAAGTGTAAGAAAATTAATTAATTTAAAGCGGAGGTGGATACTACGATAATAAGGATGGAATTTAAGAAAAGGTTGGAAGATGGATTGAATTAAATGAAGCTTTTAACAATCTACGGTAAGTGATATATGAAGGAGAATATAAAAATGGAAAAAAAATTGGAAGATGGGATATTTTGCAAAGGATAGATGGAATAAAAAAAGATCAGTAGATGTAAAATTGAACAATTCAAAAATTATAGTGGCGGTGGATTGTATGATGAAAAAAGTTCAATTAAAGTAGGAAAATGGGTTGAATTGAGTGATAAGAGAAACTCTTAAGTCATTTATGAAGGAGAGTATAAAAATGGTAAAAAAGTCGGAAGATGGGATATTTTCTAAAGGTAGGATGACAAAGCTATGTTTTAATAAATGTAAGATAAAATTGAAATTTTAGCGGAGGAGGATTTTATGCATAAAGAGGTTCAATTAAAATTGGAAGATGGATTGAATTGAGCAATAAGAGAAATTTTTAAGTTCTTTAGAAAGGTGAGTATAAAAATGGAAAAAAAGTTGGTTAATGGATAGAGGTGATGATAAATGGGGATCAATGAAACATTATAATAAATTATTTCTATATGAAAATTTCTGCTGGTTTTGATATGATACTTTTATTTTTATTATCAAGGGTAGGTTGATGTGTTAAGCATTTGAAAGCTCTGGAAAATGTTTTAATCTTCTTTAATATCTATTACAAGACTTAAAAAATCCATAAGATCTCAACCTTAATCTTGCCTGAATAATATTCTGGTTATTCATTTTTTGAAACCTATTTAAGAGTAAAGACTCAATTAGTCCTTGATCTGATGTATCAATGGAGAGGAACTAAAATAAAAATAAAAATTAGTAATCAATACTATTAAAACACATTTATCATTACAAATTTAATAAATAATTATAATTGTGATTAAGTAATTATTTTTTCTAATTCTTTATGACTTAAAAAATTTTAACACAAATAAGAAATAAAATATATTTGGAAATATACTAATAATAATTGTTTATAATTATCTATTTGTACTAGTAATTCAATCTATAGTGCATTTAAGAAAAAATTCAATTTTTGTAGCAAATTAAGCTAGAACAAGGACTTTGATAAAAATGGAAATCCATTATTTATTTTTGTATAGTCAAAATTTTAAATTTCTATTATGAAAAAATTTGGTTGGTAAAATAATGTTTGTTTTTATTGTCTTGCTCTGATTTATTATAATACTGATGCTAATTATGCAGTAGAATTATCAACTTGGATTAGTTAATAAAGTTGATACTTGTATACCTTAATATGATTTTAGTACCCTTACAGGAACATAATAAATTTGCTTACGTTATCCAGGTTATAGTTCTAATTCATCAACAGCTACTGATACAACTCCTAATGTATAAAGAAAGTTTTCAGATAATACTGAAGAATCTGATAATGCTACATGCGCTTCATTCTTACCTGGATGTATTAGTTTTGGAAAAGATTGTTTTGATTTCACGATTCCATCCACATTAATGAAAGAAACTCAGGAAACATATGATAAGATATTTGCTTGTACAACTGGATCTATTGATAACTTTACAACAAATTAATGTTACAACAGTTCAACAGCCACCGAAAATGATTATTGTATTATCAAAATCTGCAAATTACCAAAAAAAGAAAATGATGGTACATGTGGTTTTTTTAGAGGGCACTATTAGAGATTGTACAGATAATACGGCTGCAACAAAATATGAAGGTTGTGAGTCTTTTATGTCAGGATGTTTAGCTAAATTTGATGGAGGTTGTACTAGTAAATGATCATGATCCTATTCTTAATAAAATGGAACATTTATTTATTTTCCTAGTTTCAGTGGTAGTTTATTAGTCTCTTCTGTTTAGACCAAAGTTTCATGTATAAAATATGATGCTTGTTAAGATAGACTATTATCTGATAATAATCCACTTGCATATGTTTAAAGGCCTGTTTTGCTTGCATTGATGCATCTGCTTTTAATAACTATCTGATACAGTAACTATTGATTAATAAAAGTTTGAATATTGTACAAGTATCAAAGATAATGTTGGGTAATTATCCAATTTTACATTAGGTGCAACTAAATTTTCAGCTAGAACTTGTGAAAAATTCTTGAGCATATATATTTTGTAATTAGGGAGTATATATACTCTTCTACTGATGATACATGTAAATTAGCAGTAACCATATATTATTTAACAAATAAAGCAGATTGTGCCCATAGTTATACTTTTATTGATACTACTGATGACCTTACATAAGCCTAATTTAGAAAGTTTGTAAATAATAAAGGATTTTCATGCACATTCAAAAAAGATGATAAGATATGTCGTTTATAAGATAGTTGTAATAATAAAAAATTGATTCTACACTTAAAAATGCAAGATTTAAAAAAAATTCCAGTTTAGAGAAAGTCTATTGAGTATTATCAAATTAAAATCTTTAACATGAAACAATGAAATATAAGAAAGGCTCAATAAATTAGATGTCTTGGAATTTAAAGAACTTAATTATACTTTCTCAATTATTTAAAATAAATTCATTAATAGGATGAATGTCTGATTTGAAGCTGACATAAGTATAAAAGATCTTCTAAAAAGAAAAAAAAATCAAAATAATTGATACATACTTATCTTAATTATTATCATTCAATTACTTTTTTGGATTCCCAAAAAATAAGATATAAAATTTTTATAGCAAAAAGAATTTTATGTAAAATTCCTTAAATTATTCAAATAAATATGAGAAAACTATTTTTCATTAATTTATGTTAACTACAATTAAAAAAAATAAGAACTATGTTGGGAAATGATTTTGATTAGAGATTTAAAAAGGATAGGAACACAATTAGAAGAATATGGATAATGCGTTTATAAAGAGGTTAGTGCTTGTGATTTATTTCTGGTTGCTCAGATTTAGTTTCAGCTTCTAGTTAACATGAATGTAAAACTTTTATCTCTGGATGATCATATTTCAGTGGTAAATATTATGCTAAGGTTTCTACTAGTAATTGCCCATCAATATTTTCAATTTAAATCACAACTGATACTTTAAAATCTCTTTATTGTAGAGGAATCAAAGAAGACAGTTAATTTGTAGATGAAAATTTGATCAAAAATAAATGTGAACTTGCAACTAATCAAAATTGTACTGGGATATTAATTCCTTTATCATGCAGTTGGGATTCTTTTAGTCATTCAACTTCAGTTCATTCAAATCAGCATATTTTCTAGCTGAATCACATAAAGAAGAATGAAAATTTGTAAATATACTTCTGGAAAAATTTGTAGCAATGCAACATATATAGATATTCCATCGAAGCACCTATTGATTGTTATGATAATGATAAAATAACATGTTAATTCTATAAAAATCTTGATAAAACTAAAATTTGTGAATTTGATTAATATAATTCAAAACCTCAAAAATAATTTGTTGGTTGTAATTTTAATTCCTAAGAAATTTGCCAAACACTAATGATATTGATAATTCAAACTATTTTTTAAGTAAAATTAGTGATATTGGTTATATAAGCAAATGGATATTTATGTGTTTGTCAATTAAGAACATGCTATAATAGTTAAAAAAGTTGTAATGAAATCCCTGCTTAAATTGGAAATGAGAAGGCTTATTTTTATGAAGTCAAGACTAAAAGTTAATGTACTAACATGTCAGGAACAACATGCGCTTAACTAAAGAGTGTCTCTTTATAGTGTAGACAAAAATTCAACATCTCATTGTGCAAAAATGAAATATGGAAAAAATTAATGTACATATGTAAATAGTTATACTTATGTCAAATTAAATGCATGTGAAAGTCATGATGGATCAAATTCATCTGAATTGGAACCTTTTGATAGAGAATGTAAAATTTTTATGATTTAAAGATGTTTTAATTCTAAACTCGACAATATTTTGATTCCTATTTAGTAAATATATACTTAATATTTCCTTATAATTTTAAATATAATTTTTGTTAATTCTTCCTCATAATCTATTATAATTTATAATTTCTATTTCTAAAGATTTACGTTTTATTCTTATATTTTAACTTCTAAAGAATTATTGATTACTAATTAATTTATGAAATATCTTTAAGTATCCAAAGTATTTTGGTTTTCTAATTTAATTCTTAGAAAATTATGTTATACGATTATTTATAATGTTAATGCTCTTTTTGTTTCAAGCTTTTCATTAATATGATTATTGATATTTATCAACTATAATATTTTCAGTACTAATTGACAAATGATATAAGTACATCTTTACTTATAATTTTCTCATTCATCAAATAAGATTTATTATTATGTGCCATTTAATAGGTATAATTAAAATAGAATTTGAAAGGCGAATGTTTCAAGGTAGCAACAATCAATTAGAATAAGTAATAAAATTCATAAATAAACTCAAAGTTAATATTTTAATGGCAATGCAAT